GTCTCTCGCCGATTCTCGCTTCAACCTTCGTGCCACCTCGCGGTCGCCCCCTTCTCGTCGTGGTCTCCCTTGTCGCTTCTTCCTCTGTCGCGTCGCTCTCCTCTGCCTCGTCCTGCGACGGCGCCGCCGCCTGCCGCTCCCTTGCTCTCGCTGCTCGGCGCAGCTCCGCCCTCCTCGCTGCATATCCTGGCCCCTCGATTCTATCGAGCTCTCCTCGACCCTGCCGCGGGCTTTTCACGCTTCTTTTTCTTTCTTTCTTTGGAAACGTCAATAATGTCGGCAGCATCTGAGTGTGAGGAACACCGTTATCGCCCATGATTTCCCCTCTCGTGGTCACGTTGTACGCGGCTGCTCTGGTGCCCGCAGCGTCAAGTCCGCTCTACGAGGTGGATTGGGACGTCATTGATCTGGAATCGTGGGACGGCGTGAAACTGCGAGTCCGCGCTGGTTTCCCAAAGCTCAGCGGCGGGTCAGAGGAGCGGTTTCCAATGGTGCTCATGGCGAACTCGTGGTCCGTGCCCAATGTGGAGTACGTAGCCAAGCAGCTGCAGTGGGCCGAGGCAGGGTACGTCGTCGTCGAGTACGACGCCCGCGGTTGGTGGTCCAGTGAGGGCACAATCGACCTCGCTGGTCCTTCAGATATGAAGGACGCCAGTGCCATCATCGACTACGCACTCGGTCGGCGCAAGTGGCACGTGGACGCGGGCGCCATTGCTACGTGTGGCATTAGCTACGGCGCTGGCATTGCCGTCCTCGCCGCAGCACACGACCCGCGCATCAAGGCGGCGGCCTCGCTCAGCGGGTGGGGCAACCTGACCGATGCGCTGTACGCGGCCAACTCTCCGTCGCGAGTGTGGGCGAACTTGCTGCTCGTGTCCGGAGAGATCTTTGGACGTGAGCCCGCAGACCTCTGGAGAATCTGGAACTCCATCAACACGAGGAACAACATCAGCGGGGTGAAGGCGTGGTCGGATATGCGCTCGCCTGTGGCGGTGGTCGACAAGCTGGCCGCGCGGAACGTGAGCGTCTTCCTCTCCAACAATTTTGAGGACCGGCTCTTCAAACCCGACGCGGCCCTCCGATACAGGCAAATCCTCCACGGTGCCGGCGTGCCTACCCTCACCATGCTGAACCAGGGCGTGCACGCCAGCGCTGAGATGCCTGGCCTCGTTGGGAAGGAAAACGCCGTCTTTTCAAGGGTCAAGTCATTCCTCGACGCGCGCCTGAAGAGGCCGGCGGCGCCTTTGCCGGGGCCGCCCGTCGTCGTCGAGGAGCGCCCGCTCACCCTGTTTGCCCGCGCCGGCCGCCTACTCGAGTTCGCGTCGTGGCCGCCGGCCGAGCAAGCATCGGTCTCCTACAGCCTGCAGGGTCGCGGGCCGGGCGACTCTGCCGGACGGCTCTCGCTGCCACATAAGCTGCCGCCCGCCGGATCAGCTGCCAGCACCATTTCGTTCAGTCCGCTGAGCGGGCTGAGCGCGGGGATGCCGGTCGTGGGCGAGGTGATGCAGACGGAGATGCGGATGCCAATCGTTTCCGACTTCGCGCTCGTTGATCAGCACCGCGCAGCCACCTACTTGGGCGAGTCGCTAAGCCAGTCCGCCGTGCTCTGCGGCGCACCCAACGCCACTCTGTCGGTGACACCGAGCGCAAGCGCCTTCCAGCTCGTCGGCTACCTCTATTCCGTCGATCCGATGGATATCGGCACTCTGCTCACGCACGGGCCGCGCACCGTGTGGAAAGACGAGGGAGCTACAGCTGGCAACCCTCTTTCGGTCGTCGTCAACATGCGACCGACGTGCGCGACGCTGCGCAAGGGACACCGGGTTGGTTTTGGGGTCAGCCTGTTCTCCATGATGTATACGCCGTCGAACGCTGACCCGGCGCTGACGGTGCTACTCAACAACAGCGCCTCGCGGCTCTCGCTTCCATGGCTGACTGCTCTGCCAAGCAAAGAGGTCTGAACCCGTAAGAAATCATAGAGGAGACGCGGAGAGCAGGGGTGTGTGGATTCTGGAGCTCTAAGGGGGGATAGAGAGAGGAAGGGAGATTGGTGTGCCTGTTTTTCGCGCTAAGCATTTTTTTTTCGTATACGCGTACCTCGAGGTACACGGATAAAAAAGGAGCGCGTGTGTTCGTGATCGTGTTGGTCAGCGGCCCGTGCCGGTCCCCAGTCGCGGGTGATGCTCTGATAAACCCTCCGGATCTTCGACAAAGGTCGGATATTTCTTTTTTCAAAGTGCAAGGTGTGAATAAGTGGTTTATGATAGGGCTACTACGACGAACTATGCGGCAATCGACTGGGCGCCTGGCGCCCGACCACCCCCGCGCAAAGACCTCGTAGTAGCCCTCCCCGTAACCGCCTTGGCCGGACTTGTCCAGGCCGCTGTCGCAAGTGCTGTCGCCGCGCAGATCGGCGCGAGCAGTCGCTCGAGGGGCTCTACTGGCTGGCGGTGCTCAAGGGGAAGGCGTACACGCTGGCCGAGGACACGGTCGTCAACACCGACACCATCCCCGCGGGCTATCTCGTGGTCAAGGCGCAGTGGCTCAGGCTCGAGCAACGCGAGTGCGAGGGCAAGCTTCGCTCCTACACGCTGCTCGAGGCCGAGACGCTCATCATCGTGAATCACATGGTGCGGCTGGCGGGCTTGCGCTTCTCGCCCGGCCCGGGCGGCCCTGCGGACCGCCAGCTGAGGAGCGCGCGCGAGAAGCTCTATTATATTGGCCTACAGACGCATTACTCGCTCGAGGCGTGCTGCAGTGAAGACCAGTCTTTTGTTTGGAGGCGTCGATTTGTGCAAAAATGTGTGTTAGAGAGCGCTAGATGGCAAAATTTTCTTCGCCTCCGGCGGGGCCGCTCGCCGCGGGGCTAGAGAGTGACTTTTGTCGATGTCGGCTAGAAGTGCTGCACGTTTTTCAGAATTTCACCCTCGCTCTCTAACTCTCAAATGCGACACTCGATTGGCCGGCCCTCGGCGCCCTCCAGCCCAGGCAGGAAGTGAAACACCCTCGCAAACTCGTACGGCCTGGGCGAGAACTGGGCGAGCACCTGTTCTAGGATCCTCGGCAGGAGACGCGACTCAAACGAGTCGGGAAGGGGGAGCCAGCCGACCGCAATGTCGATGTCGCTCGTGACGGCGGGCCGCTGGAGGAAGCCAGCCTTCAGGATGGACGCGTCGGTGCAGAACCAGATCCGCATCTTCTCCGCGCGCACCATCACGCTCGGTCTGCCCGCCTCGGCGCCGTCCTCATCCTGCTGAAGCTCGACGGACGGCTTGAACCACGACTTGGAGCGGAGGGCCAGCGTGACGCCCTCCTCGAGTGCGAGCTTCGCCTCGATACACACGTCGGCGCAGACCAGGGTGTTCTTCTTGAGCGCCGCCAGGTCGAGCGCCGAGTACGCAGCTGGCCACTCCGCCGCGTCTCGCTCGAGGTCAGCGTAGTCCTGCAGGCGGAAGCACCGGTCGCACGTGACGCTCAGATCAAAGAGCTTTTGCTGCGCGTCTTCGATCGGCTTGCCATCGCGCTCGGCGCAGAGCTGATAGCCCGAGCTGCCCAGGGCGAGGCCGCCTCCTGCGCCCTTGAGCGCCTCCACCATCTGCGCTGAGAAGCTAGCCTCGAGCCGCGGGGCGAGCGTCTGCAACGCGATGTTGAGGAGATCGCTCGCCGCCAGCTGCTCGGCGGGGCCAGCATCGCCAAGGCCCGCAATCTCGCGAGACAGGGAGGTGGACAGGCGCTGCATTGCGCCGCTGGTCGAGTCGAGCTTCGAGACCAGCTCCTCCGAGTCGGCCCGCCTCCTCTCCGCCGCCCGGCCGTGTGGCCCGAGGCGCCGGTCAAGCCGCGCCTCCAGGCGGTCGCGCAGCGCCCGAAGCTCCCTGTTGTCGCCCCGCAGCCGCGCCAGCTCTGCACGCAGCCGCTCGGCCTCAGCCACCGCAGCGCTGGCTTCTGCCTCTGCCCTCTCGGCCTCTGCGTCGGCCTCTCTGACTGTGCCGTTGCGCCTCGCTCGCTCTATCCTCTTTACCAAAGTGCGGAATTCGGCGAGCGAGATGGACGGGCTGCCAGCCTCTGCGTCGGCAATGGCGTGCTTCATCCTAAAACGTGGCATGGACACCCGCGCAGCCTGCTTGAGCGCCTGCTCCGCCTCGGCGGCGGTGAGCAGGCCGTCGGAGTCGGCATCGTGCTCTTCAAAGGCGAGCGAGATCACGTCGGGGCGGCAGCCCCAGAGCATGGGACGCTGGTCGTGAGCTCAGCACAGTGGCACCTCGCTGAACAGTTGCACCTCGCTGAAGTTTGGCACCTCGCGTGTGTGTCGAGCAAGGTGGTGAGACGTGGGCCAACCAAGGTGCCTCTGCCCCGCGCCGAATTGAAGAAAGAGCCCGACCAGTTGGTGGTCCACCGAGACCGCGCTGCGAGCCTGTCGTGTCCCTTGTCAGGAGCAGGAGAGCCCACTTGTGCCCCTGATCGTCCTTCCAAAATCCTGCTCATGCAGGTGGGGACCACCCTGTCCTCCTCCCCCATCCCTCGTTTTGGCTTGTCTTTTTATTTCTTTCCTTTACGCGCTGGTGCCCCTATCGTTGGTCTGGCTGTGTTTCACGTCGTCCTCGTTCCTCCCTGTGCGCCCGTCCGACCATGCCGACTACGGCCTGTGGCACGCTGCCCGCCTCGGCCACTTTGGCAGGAACAAGATCATCGGGCCACTGCGCTACAGGGGTTACGTTTTCCGCCCCGGCAGCGACCGCTGTGAGTGCGCTGCATGTCGCCTCAATCGTCGCCGCAAAGGCCACCCGAGTCAGCCGACCAACCGCCGAGTCTACACCCACTTCGGCGAGGAGCGCTTGCGCAGGTACGGCGACGGGAGCGGCGCCGACCGGGACCGACACTCGTCCGATTGGCAGAGCGGCCGGCACGGAGAGCGAGAGCGAGACTCGGACCGTGCGCACGAGCAGCGCCGGTCGCCTCCGCCGGCAAGAGAGCGCCGGCTGGGACGTGATCGGCAAGAGAGCGAGTACCTTGGAGATCGCCGCGGCGGCCGGTACGACCGCGACCGCTAGCGCGCTAGCCTGAGCCTCATCCCAGGGAGGAAAGCGCGGGCGCGGGGCAACCATGAACGCACTTACGCAGGCAGCATGCCTGTTCGCCCTGACGTGCGTCGCGGAGAGTTTTGGTGAACGAGGGGTCGACCGAGGGGGGGGGGTGTTCGACTAGCACAGACACTACGATTGAAAGCCGCGCGAATTCAGATTGTGACACAATACACAGTTGGACGAGCATTTTTTCTAACCACGTGGACCTATTCTGCGGCCCGATAGCTATCTGGGCTGAGGGACCAACTTGAGAATCGTGCTTTGAGTTGGGTTGTTTCGTGTTGGGTTGGGTTGTGCTTGGGTTGGGTTGTTCCGCGTGAGGTTGGGTCGTCGGCGCGAAGGGTGAGTCTCGACCGCCGCCGCTCACGCCAGCGGACGGCCACTGCCGGTGTTTTTGGCTTCGCCACCGTCCAAGGCGTGCGCCATGCGCTCGCCGGCATCGAGCGAGCAACGTGATCGACCGAGCGGCTTGCTGTGTGGCCGCCTTCTTGTGGCTCTCGTCGAGAGCGTTTTGCGTCCCGGCGGGTGGGAGAATGTGTGTCGTCTGAAGTGTCACTGTGTGCGTCACATCGATGTGGATAACAAGCACGGTCGATCCGTCAAAGCGATACACTCGTTCCTATCACGCTGGAAGGCTTGCACGGAGCTCTGTGCCGGCACACAGAAGAGCCGTGCGGCAAGAAGAGCTCGATGGGGAGCGAGAACCGTCAGATTTTCAGGTGTAGCCTGAAGTCCGTCGCGACGCACTCAATCCCTCCCGAGCGAAAGCCTGTGGCTCTCTCGAACTCGTCGATATATTGCGAATAAACTGCTCTTCCCGCATAGCTTGCAGAGTCAGAGGCGCAGAAAGGCTACGAGTGGGGGGGACTGACCGCATCAAGGCGGACTTCCGACACCTCCGTGAGCACCTCTGGCAGTTCTCGCTCCCCATCGAGCTCTTCTTGCCGCACGGCTCTTCTGTGTGCCGGCACAGAGCTCCGTGCAAGCCTTCCAGCGTGATAGGAACGAGTGTATCGCTTTGACGGATCGACCGTGCTTGTTATCCACATCGATGTGACGCACACAGTGACACATCAACGACACACATTCTCCCACCCGCCGGGACGCAAAACGCTCTCGACGAGAGCCACAAGAAGGCGACCACACAGCAAGCCGCTCTTTCGATCACGTTGCTCGCTCGATGCCGGCGAGCGCATGGCGCACGCCTTGGACGGTGGCGAAGCCAAAAACACCGGCAGTGGCCGTCCGCTGGCGTGAGCGGCGGCGGTCGAGACCTCACCCTTCGCGCCGACGACCCAACCTCACGCGGACAACCCAACCCAACCCAACAACCCAACCCAACCCTTCCCCGGTCCTCACTGGCTTGCCGGGGTCATGGGCCCCCCCCCCTCTAGCGCCGCCGGAGGCGGCGTAGCTTCCGAGAAGCTCGGTCAGACACACGGGGGAGAGACGGACACCACATCATTACGAATGACGCAAAAATACGTCACGGAGAGCGAGTAGAATGGCTAATTTCGCCGAGAGCGCGCCGCGGGCGCACCTGGTATACGGCCCCGGAATGAGTCACTGATTAAAGTTGGGCGCCTTTGGTCGAGGCTTCCCCGGTCCTCACTGGCTTGCCGGGGTCATGGGCCCCCCCCCCTCTAGCGCCGCCGGAGGCGGCGTAGCTTCCGAGAAGCTCGGTCAGACACACGGGGGAGAGACGGACACCACATCATTACGAATGACGCAAAAATACGTCACGGAGAGCGAGTAGAATGGCTAATTTCGCCGAGAGCGCGCCGCGGGCGCACCTGGTATACGGCCCCGGAATGAGTCACTGATTAAAGTTGGGCGCCTTTGGTCGAGGCTTCCCCGGTCCTCACTGGCTTGCCGGGGTCATGGGCCCCCCCCCCTCTAGCGCCGCCGGAGGCGGCGTAGCTTCCGAGAAGCTCGGTCAGACACACGGGGGAGAGACGGACACCACATCATTACGAATGACGCAAAAATACGTCACGGAGAGCGAGTAGAATGGCTAATTTCGCCGAGAGCGCGCCGCGGGCGCACCTGGTATACGGCCTAAGTCCGGCCGGAGCGCGGCCTGGACTTGGGCCTCCTCCCAGGTGCGCCCGCAGCAACTCTTTAGTCTTTTTTGTGTATTTGCCGCACCGGACATGTCTCGAACCTCGTTGCCCTGAAACTGCGCATACCACGTCACGAGGAGACCATGCACGGTGCAGTCGCCGTTTGAAAACATTTAGCCTTTCAAAACAGCAAGGGGGCAGGGTTGCACTCGATTCCACGCACTGACTCCCACCTCCGCCCGCCCCATGACTCTCGAGGGCCCTATGGCCGTGCGCACCGCCGAGGCGCGTGCAGTCAGTGGGCTGCTGAGCACGGCATCCGCCCTCGAAGGTGCATGGCATTTGGCAGCGCGGCTTCCAGGAGTGAGGGAGAGTGGAGCAACAGAATTCACGGCCGGCTCGCTACTACCCTCAAGGAGGGAGATCGCGGCGGGTCCATGTCCAACTGTGCTGGAGGTGTTGTTGATTGAGTAGTACAAGAGGTAGTAGTCGAGAAAAGTAGTTCGAGAAAAGTAGTTCGAGAAAAGTAGTTCGAGAAAAGTAGTTCGAGAAAAGTAGTTCGAGAAGTAGGTCAAGAAAAAGAAATGTCGAGCAGCAGCATCTGCCGGGGGAGATTGCGGTGTCGTGAGCAAGCATCTGGAGGTAGGGCCGGGCTTATCTCGATGGCTGGAAAGGGCAACGGGCACGAAGGGTGTGTGTCTAAAGGGGTGCAAGCTAGAGAGGAAGGCGACAGTGTACCGTCAAGCTGTAGGCAAGGTCGAGGCCTCGACGGCTCAGGCTTCGGCGCCGTCAGGCTCCCGCTCCGCCGCCGGGAGGGTGATGGTTGCTTTGCCGGCAGGCCACTGGGCCAGCACCTCACGGCGGACCTGATCAGCTGTCCGCTGCGCTCTCCCGCCAGTAGGGCGCACCGGATGCGTGAACGCATCACTGCGCGCGAGACGGTCGAGAATGCGCAAAGGGATGGGCTTCACGCCGATGCCGCCGAGGACCTCGTCACGGCTCACGCAAACCTCGCACTCCCTCGCCTTCTTGTTGTAGGTTGTGCTCCAGCTTGCCTTCCGCTTCGATGAGCCGACCTGCAGCTGCGAGGGCCCAGGCAGGCTGAAGGAAGAGATGGAGGCGAGGGTGGCGGCAAGGGCGGCGGAGGGCACTGGCGGCTGTGGCCCGAACGGCATGGCAGACGGCATGGCGGAGGTGGCCGGCATGTTAGGAGCGGGAGGTGGGAGCGGCGGGAGAAGCGACGGGAGCGGCAGGAGCAGCGACGGGAGCAGCGGCGAGCCGGTGGCGGCATTGAGGGTGGCGTCCGGTGGCGACATGGGCGGCGGCGGCATGGGCGGCGGTGGCATGGGCGGCGGCAAGAGCGTCACAGAAGACACGAGCGGCAAGCCATCTGCCGGTGTGCACAGCGGCATAGCTGCTGCCATCGGCAGCCCACTGCCCGGCGTCAGAGGCACAGAGGCGACGGTGGCGGGAGCGGCGGCGGTGGACGGCGCCCCGCCGGCTAGCATCCTCACCGCCACCTCCTGGTCGAGGCCACCCGCCTGCGGAGCAATCGCGGGCAGTGGCACGGGCAGCCGTGCTGCCGCCACCTGCGACGAGCTGCCAGCCCCTGCCACCTGCGACGAGCTACCGGCCCGGCGCTGCCCATCCAGCGCGGCCCGTTGCGCAAACCGCGCAGACTCCGCCGCAACTTGCTGGAGAGCAGCAGCACTCGTCCTGTTCGGCCGCAGGCGGTGCAGGTCCGGAGGCGTCGACGACCGGCCCGAGAAAATCTGCTCGACCTTCTGCAGGTAGAGCAGCTGGGCCGTGTCGTACACGTCCCTCTCACTGGTCGGGTGGCGCTGCCTCGCCTCGGTCATCGACTCGGCCATGAGCTGGAGCTCGAGCTCGAGCCGCGGCACGATCGGTCTGCTGTTGGCGATCGTGGGCCGCGGAGACTTGTGCGCCGCGTTCCAGCGTCCAACTGGTGCTGATGCGGCGGCGGCGCCTAGCACAACAGCCGACCCACCTCCTCCCCCCCGCCCCGCCGCCGCCGCCGAGCGCCGTGGCGACGTGGCCAGCGCCGCCAAGTCCTCCTCATCGCCGCTCAGCGGCGCGTCACCAGCAAACGAGAGCGCGCCAAACTGCGGCGGGATCACCTCCACCATGTCGGCCGGGAGCAGAGGTAGAGAAGAATCACCTCCCGG